TCAACCGTACTGACGATGCGAAGACTTACCACGAATTGCATACAAATATCTCCAATGCCTTCACAAAAGCATTTGTCAACACAACTGATGGTAAGATCAAAGGCGACACTCAAGCCGTGTATGTGTTAGCCCTGGCCTTCGAGCTCTTACCCCAAAACCTGAGACCACTTGCGGTCAACCATTTGGTCGACAATATTAAGGCTCACGACTACCACTACACCACTGGATTCATCAGTAAGTTATGCCATTTTATAACAGTATTTGTGTTGCGAACATATAATTGAATTTATATAATCCAGGTATTAATTACATAAATGAGGTACTGGTGAGGTATGGGCACCGGGATGTTGCCTATAGGTGCGTATTACAGGAGTCATTCCCCTCGTGGGGCTACGAGATAGCACACAATGCAACGGCAATGTGGGAGCACTGGGACTCTTGGACAGAGGACAAGGGGTTTATGGACCCCTCCATGAATTCATTCAATCACTTCAGTCTGGGATCAGTCGGTCGATGGCTTTACCAATACGTGGGAGGCATCGACACCGATGACCAAATGGTTGGCTTTAAACGCATCAAAATACAGCCCAACCCCGGGAATGGTGTCTCGTTTGTGAAGTCCACTTATAAGTCAATCAATGGGTTGATTGAGAACTCGTGGCAAACAATCGGCAATCAATTCGTGTTGAATGTAATGATGAGTTCATTTTGAATGTAATTTGTGCCAAAAATTGAGTAAAACTTTTTTCCAATCATTTCTAGACAACAATTCCGGTCAATACGAGAGCCAGTGTTGACCTAACATTTGCTAAGAATGGGAAAGTCTATGAAGTAGGATCCGGGACATATACGTTTCAAGTCACTATTGATTAACAATTATAATGTTGCTAATATAAAAATTATATTAAACAAAAATTTACTAATGAGTAAACTGAATTTATTTTTATTATAATTATCGTATCATAATGTTATATAAATCACTTACTAGTTAATTTAATATTAATAGTGGTGATGTTGTAAAGAATATACAAAAATATAAATTGCTGGAAAATGAAAATGAACTCGGTTATTAATTTATTCTAAATTATCAAGAGCATTTACACTGGGAATGACATCTTAAAAGACAAAGCAATTAAAATGCAAAACACATTTCAGTCAATAATGTCGACCCCTAATGGTCTCACAGACAGGAATGCAGTGAAGTATTGTCCGAATATAACGAGTGGTCTATCGATAAGAATATTCTTACAAATGATTCCCGATTTGAGTCCATATTAAATAGACTTCAATCCATTGATAATTTATTTTTCTATCAATTCATATCTGATATCTCCCAACAAAAACCTAACCAAGCAACATTCAATACAAATACATGAAACAAATTATCATAGATTAATTCCCTATCTATTTGTGTTAATCTTATCTTATTTAATATTTTTATTTTTTAAGAATTTTTGTTAAAGTTTGTTAATCATGTTGTAAAATGTACATGAATTTAAGTTTTTTATTTTTAAATTGTATATAAATTGTATATA